TTGTTAAGGAAGCCAAGAATGAATATTATCACTTAAATATTTAATTTTTGAAAAAGAGAAGTAAGTTTAGGTGTTATCAGCCGGGGCGACTTGGACCGAACAGCCCTGTATGTTAAAACTTAATAAACAAAATGTTTTACAAATGTTAATTTAAATTTTAAGTTAATGCGTCTAAAACTTGAATTCACTAAAACTTGAATTTGTTGGTAGGTAATATGAAACATTCCGTAAATAGCATAATTTGCAATTTCTAATACAACAACGTCTTTTTTTGTTTAGCAAAAGAAAAAAGTATGACAGTTAAAAAAATTGTAGAAATTAAAGTATGCAGCCAACCTTACAAATGTGTTGTTGGAGTTGCTGATTTATGATAAGTTTAAATTTGAATCCGTTAGACAGCGTACACCCTATTTATGTCATTTCAAAAAAAAAGACGTTTCGCTGAAGCGGGGGATCCGTATAAGAAAAACTTCTCTTAATAATCAAAAAGGCCGTGGCCGGTACTTTTCTTTCAAATGTCAAATACACGTCAACGTTCTATCGTAATCACGGAATTCGTAAAATAAGATGGAAGGCTGTCACACCTATAAACAGTCACTACAATTGCACGCTGCATGGAGGATGCCATTTGGTAAACAATGATACCAATAACTAAAAAATACCAAGAATTTTACTAATATCCCTAGTAAAATTGGTACGTTGTGTTTTGTTAGTTGCATAGCTCAAGCAAGCCAAACGCAAGAAAACGTGGTCAAACCAACAATAGAACAAAAGTTCTTTTTACTTTTGATTATGTTTTTGGAATTCGTTACTTTAACCAACTAATTTTTTTCGTGTTATTCTACAGTATGTCCCCGGATTGAGTTTACAAGAGGAAAAAAACTTTTATCTTTGATTTTACGCCAAAATTGAAAAGGAAAAAAGTTTTTGCTTTACTTGAAACCAGCAAATCTGTAATTAAAACTTCATTATTCTAACTCACTAGAAAGAAAAGTTCATTTTTCTTTTGATTTTGGACTTAGAATAACTTTTCTCAGCTCACAGTTCGCCGTTTTTCCAAACTCACCGCATATAAGACAAATATTAGCATTTACGTCCTTGTCCTTATCATCACTACAGTCATCACTACAGTCACTAGCAGAGTCTTCTTCATGCTTTTGTTAGTTTGGTCTAACACACTTTTTTCTTGGTTGAATTCTATCAATCAGACTGATGTTTTCATCTTCACTAAACACTTTACGCTTAGTGCCTTTATTAGTTTTCTTCCTTTTTAGTTTGCTTGTTTTCCAATTTTACCTTCATTGGTGTAGAAGTAAAAATTTCTGAATGTTGTTTTTTGTTGTTATTTTTTTACACTTCTTGCTTGAGGCGTTGTCTTTTGAACACCCAGGTAGAGGAATTATATCGGCAAATGATATCTCATGTTCATGTACATTAGCTTCTTCTCCTTGCTCTTGATTATCTTTTTCTATATTCTGCTCTTCAATGCCTTAGTTTTCGGAATCTTCCTGGCTCTTTTCTTTTTCTCTGTCTTTTATAAAACCCTCAGCTGCAGCAAAGTCTTCTAAAGTAAAATGATCTGGATTTACAGGAAAAATTCCTGTGCTTTCAAAGCCTTTAATGGCTTTAACTGGTGTAGCAACACGTCCAAAGGCATTTTGAAAAATTTCCGCTATTTCGAAAGTTGTTATTCTCTCATGTGGATGGCTTCTTAGATAATTTCCACATTCAACATTATACGCCGATTTCAAAGAAGAATAAAATGCCACATCCAGTGGCTGAAGGCGATGAGACGTATGTGGTGGAATAGTTAAAACTACAATTCATTTCTCTTTACAAAAATTATACGCCTCCAATGTGCAGTGACTTGAGTGGTTATCAATTATTAATAAAACTGGATCCTCTTTTGAAGGCTTTACAACAGCACAAAAATGTTGGAGCCATTCTAGAAATAATTGTTCGTTTATCCAACCATTTTCTGAACAACGGTAGAGTGCACCAGGTGGTCCATTTTTCTTTAATTCTGGTTTCATTTTCTTACGCGCATATATCAGTAGAGGAGGAACATAGAATCCAGAGGCACTTATACAGCACATGATTGTAATAGTCTGTCCTCTTTCCGCGCTTGTAATAAAACCCACTCTTTTCTGACCCTTTTCCGCAAGTATTTTTGCTGGATTTTGGACAGTAGTTATCCCTGTTTCGTCCGCATTAAATATTTTAAACGGGGAAAATCCATGCTTGTCCAGAAGAGTGTTCAGGTTGGAGAAAAACAAATCTACTTCCTTTTTGTTGAATGCAGAAATGCGATTTATACTCGTTGCTTCTGGCTTCCTTAAGCTAATATTCGGATTTCTTTTGAGAAACCCGGCGAGCCAAACTGTACCTGCTATTTCCTTGGCAGTAGAAAATGGGTGTTTTAATTTTTTCTCTTCGGCATACTTGAAGGCACATTTTTTAATTTCAGTGGGAGATATGCCATAAAAATGTTTGGACAGTGCTATAACTTGATTTGCTAAAGCTTCTTGTTCATCTTTTGTGAAAACACACCTACGCCCCATTGAAGCCTCAGATACATTATTATTTTTAAGTCTTTTTTGCAGTGTTGTTCTGGGAATGTTGAATGTTCTTGCAACATCTCGCGTACTTCTGCCATTCCTTATTGCCTTTAAAGCAGCAGTAAGCTGTTCAGAAGTCCAGAAGTCCAGCTACACTTTTGTGTAATTCTTTTGTAGGTACGTGGCATTTGTCATAAAAAAACAACCTCATAAAAAAATTTAAATTTTACATTGTCGTTTCGGGGTAATAGTGGCCGGCCCGCATTGCTCCAAAGCACGTGGCCAGTATTACCCCAAATTGCGTTTTTGCGTTATTTATGAATAACACTTGGATCATCGCAAATAATCAGTAAAACACTACATTATCTAAAACTACACATGCAGTTGCATAATTTGTATAGAAAATTGTGTTACCTAAACTTTAATTTATTATTTTAACTTACCTTTAAAATGACAAGAATGATACTTCAAACTGTACTCAATTTCACTTTCTCAAAATTTTCTATATTACCGACGTAGCAACGCGACCATTTTCAGTATATCGTGAACTACGTGTCTATAGATGGCGTACGAATATTAAAAAGAAAATAATAATATTACACAGTTTAAAATACTGAATGGCCACTATTACTCCCGCGGCCATCATTCCCCCACTCACTCTCCCCTACGCTTTTATGCTTTTATCAGCTATAATTCTCAACAGTCAAAACAAAATGCACAAACGCATCTGATAAGAAAAAAAAAGGAAAAAAATGTTAATATGTTTTTAATTAATTTTCATGTTTATAATAATAATACTTTATACTTTATTAATTATTATGTTATTGCATATATGTGCTTACATTCGTCATTATAAGTATAAGCAAATAATAAGCGTACTTAGATAAAAGTTAAAAAAATAAATAAATAATTTAGCTCTTTGCACATACACTCACAAACAATATACAAATTTAAAAACAAGACATCACATGACACTCTAAAAATTCATCTACTCGTATGCTATAAATAGCTTGCACCCGTGACTTCGTCCACGTAGATTTTCGATATAAACTTTTGTTAATTTCAAAGGTGGAATGTAAAGTTAGTCTGTTTATCTATTTTTTTCTTGATTCATCAACTCAAAACAATGCGGGAGCAGAGGGCCGATTTTTAAGAAAATGATGAAAGCACGTTACAAACGCTTACACCCCGTTTCACCTCGTTGAATTTTTGACTACATCCTCAAAAGTCAAAATTTTAGATTTTATGTTTATAATTTCGTTTAAATATTTGCACCCTATTTCTTCCCGTATAGGTTGGTTTTTGAAAAGTGCCTGATTAGTGCACTTCACTCTCTAAGAATTATATTTTCCAAATTTTATCTTCGTTTAAACGTGTACACCCTATTTCACCCCCTTAGAAACCGATTTTTAAAAATCTCGTCTTAGTGCAGCTTTACAACCGCCAAAGAACATATCTTCCAAATTTTATTTTCTATCTTTGTTTAAGTATTGACAAGCCATATAAATATATTTTCAAAAAAAAAACCTTCCTTAGTGTTCCTCTACACCCTCCAAAGAATATGTTTCCTAAATTTTTTGTTTTTATCTTCGTTTAAATGTTTACACCCCGTTTCGCCTTTCTTAAAAATTGATTTTAAAAAAATCCTTCCTTAGCGAACCTTTACACACTCTAAGGAACATATCTTCCAAATTTCATGTTTCTATCTTCGTTTAAATATTTCCACCCCATTTCACCCCCGTAAAAATTGATTTTCAAAAATCCTTTCTTAGCGGACCTGTAAACCCTCTAAAAAACATATCTTCTAAAGTTCATGTTTCTATTTTCGTTTAAACGTATACACCCCGTTTTACTCCCTTTCTTAAGGGAGTATACTTATTACTTTTTTAAATTCTCGTCTTAGTGCACCTTCACAACCGCTAAGGAACAAATTTTCCAAAGTTTTTTAAAAATTGGTTTTGAGTTACGATGGCTTATGTAGGGCCTAAAATACAAAAACAATGAAATTTTTTTTTATTGAATAAACAATATTATTACCAAAACTTAGACCCTCAGTAATTTACAATAATATTAAACAGTTCCTTGATTTTTTATTAACAATCAAAGATTCAATGCAATTTTTCTCAAGACTGTAAATTTTGAGTTAGTTACTTTTCGATGGTAGAGTGATATATAATCCACTTTTATACGTTAGCAATTTCCAAGAATAATTTTGGAGCTAAATCATTGTAGTATGGTGTTTGGTTGGTTGAAGTTAATAAAATATTAACTTAACAGAGCGATTAAATTTCTTTGAACGTAGGACCTCAGCCAACCCGTGAGATCAATCGGTTGAAGGAGAGTAAGGTGCAGTCAATTAAAAATGCATTTAATTATTAAATTAATGTATTTGGAATAAAATAAAAATGGTTAACACAATATAAGTGAATAATACAAAAAGGGTAAATAAATGTTAAGCGGAAACAATTGTCTAAAATTGGGGATATTCCTATTTTAGACCTTATCAAAGTCATAATACAAAACTGAAACTATTTTCTAACAACAAAGGCATTAATGTTTTAAGAGACATTATTACATTTAAACGGAAATTGCACAAACTATGGACTTTAACGAAATTAGGAAAAACAACCAAAATGTATTTATTATTTAATTTAGAAAAACATTGTAATTGCTTATCTATGCATCGTATGACACCTCTGGTTTTCACATGTCAACTTAACACTCTGATAAGAAACAAACGTTAAATGAAACTAATATCTTAAATCTAACTTGGGGTTTGTGAATCGTTACCAGAGACCAAATCTTTGTCGTCATTACTTTGACTCGTGAACCTATCCATCTTTCAACACGGTTATTTTTTCAAGTTCATCCCGGCCCAGACGCTTTAGTTTAGTAAAACATTACTTAAATAATTTAGAAATTTTGATAACGGCTTCGTTCGAAAATCCACAACAAAATCATAATATGGTACGGCATGGTAAGTCGGAGCAACGTGAACAGTCAAAGGAAAAATAAATCAAAACTTACAGCTCATGACTATGCAATAGAACAATCAGGCTGCTTTGGGCTGATAGCTTCTGGCCTCAGATGGTGGCACAGGATGTTTTGGCAGCTTCTTCTTCAATTGACACAACTAGTCTGATTCGACTAGACGACAGATTTTTGACTGATCTTCTAGCGATATTCGCGCTTCCTTTTTATAGGGCGAATAAGACGTCATCTCTTGCGATGAGTTCTTTCCAGTGCACAGGGCAAGGACAGTCTAGCGCGAATATTTAGTGAATCATAAGAATCATAAAACGCACTTAAGATTTTAAGTCTTCCGCGAAAAACTCGTCGCCTGCTCTAATTGTGTTTACGTTATGAATTCCGAAGAGTCTGTGTTATTGACCGCAATTTAACTTCATAGGTTTGGTCTCTTTACAATATCAACTTTAAGTCTTTAAAAAGAACATCAAGGGCTTTTTAGCCCATCACAAAAGAAAATAATGTTTTCTTGTTTAAAAAAATTGGAGATAGCCATGACATTCTAGAAAAAGACGATTTTGCACTAGCATACATGAATAATGAAATGAAATATATGCTTACTACTTATGGGCCACGAATCATTTGTATGGATGGAACACATGGGACCAACCCATACAATTTTGAGTTGACAACAATTCTTGTATTAGATGACCAACATATGGGACACCCTGTTGCCTTTTTAATTTCAAATAGGAAGGACACTACAATACAAGTAGTTTTACTTAAAGAAATAAAAAAAAATAATTGGTACTACTTTGATCCCAGATTACCTCATGACAGATGACACTCCCATATATTTCAATGCTTGGTGTAATGTTATGGGCACTGTGCCACATCGGCTTCTGTGCACCTGGCACATTAAAAAAAATGGGCAATACAGTGTAAATCCAAAATTTCGGACCCTCAAAAAAGAGACAAGATTCAACAAGACCTCAATGGTTTACTAAAAGAAACTGATGAGATTGAATTTTTGTGCCTAAAAAACAATTTAATACAGTACCTACAACTTAACAATGAATATTCATTTTTACAATATTTAAATACATATTATTTGCAAAATGAAGAGCGTATAGCGACCTGGGCACATTGTTATAGAAAAAATGCAGGCATCAACACTAATATGCATCTAGAAGCTCTCCATAAAAATTTGAAATATAATTATTTTTCTGGGAAAACAGTTCAACGATTAGAAACTTGCCTGGATGCATTAGACAAGCTTATTATAGATAAGTCTTGGAAAAGAATTACTTCAATTTTACGACCCACAGCTACTCATCGAGATCTTCTTGAGAATAAATTCCATAAACGTGCAATGGAGATGAATTTTGACGCAGTTGCAATACAAACTACAAACAAATTTCTTGTCCACTCACAGTCCAAAGTTGATTATTATGAAGTTATTATTAGTCGATGAGATTTGTAGCTGTCGAAGTCTCTATTGTCAGCTCTGTAAAGCTTGCATTCATCGTTTCAAGTGTTCATGTTATGAAGCGTCCATAAAAAATAATTTTTGTAAACACATGCATTTGGTTGCAATGTATATTACCCAAAAATGTACTGAGGATATTGCTAACTTGTCACAAGAAGAAGAAGATCTACAACCTGACAGTGTAGAAGAGCTCCACATTGATGTACCGTCTGCTGCTGAAATTAGCTTAAACCAGGAAGTCACATTACGCATTGCTGAAATTTCTGAAAGAAGCATTACGAATATCAATAATATACAAGAACAAAGCAACAAGACATTCGCCTCAATTATGAGTCAGTGCGCCAGTAGTGATGATTATGATTACGTGCTCAAAAGTTTAATACAAATTAAGTCATATTTTAACAAAGTAGACTTACCTCAAACCAGAGTGACAAAAAGAAAAATTGAAAAACAAACTTTTTTTCCGAGTAAAAAACATTAAGTTACTTTCTAAATTATTAACAGATTTATTTTGTTACGTTGTTTTCAATACATTGCTTCTAGTATTTGATTATAAACTTTTTTGTTGATAAAAGGTTGACAGACATCATATTATTACTGTCAAAAGTCAATTGCATGTCAATTAACAAGTAAAACTTTTTGCGCATGTGCTGCACGTTTGATATTTAGACAAAGCTCAGAAATTGTCAACTCCTTCCCTATCTAATGCATACGCACGATGAACAGCGAGAAACTACCGAGAATTGTGGAAGGCACACGATAAACATAAAACCCTATTTCACCCCTTTAGAGAACGATTTTCGAAAAATCCCTTCTTAGCGAACCTCTACACCCTCTAAGGAACGTATCTGTCAAATTTCATGTTTCTAGCTTGTGTGGTTTAGGTTGTGCGTTGTCTGTCAGTCAGTGTCAATCACGGAACTCTTTTATATACCAGGTGAATAAAAAGTATGGAACCAAACGTTTTTTGCTTAAACTGTTTATTTTTTGAAAAAACTAATTGATGAGTGATAAAGTACTATAAAAATGTGATGATTTAACAAGAATAAAATTTTTCGAAATTTCCTTTTGTATTTGAGTTCTACAAAAAAAAATATTTTTTTAAATGGCAACCCACTATAAAATCATTTTTCTCATAAAAGCTATACTCTAAGGATTACAACTATCTGCTTTATATTAAATTTTTTACGAAAAAATTTTTTCACATAAATTGCAGTTTTGACAAAAAAATCGCATAACTCAAAAACAAAACAAAATTTCGTTCTGAAAATACAATCACATTTTTTTATATTACTTTAATTTATATTAATTATTATTTTCCAGAGGCAAATGATTAAAAATAAAACCGCTTGGTTCCATACTTTATATTCACCCTGTATGTCGTAATCATTGGGCGTAATACGTTATTCCGCGGAAAGCCTAGTCTTTGGCCGTACTGCCGGCAGAAGCTGTAATCAAATGAATATTCCTTTGTTTGACTGAAATTTTATGTCATTTCAGAGATTGCCCACTTAATTTTAGTCAAACAAAGTAACCGGTTAAACCAGTACATGTTACAGCGTTTGACGGAAGTCTATTTAGTCATTTACTGAAAAGTCTTGAAATGTTTGATACTTTCTGTAGAAATGTAAATTTTTGGTAGAAGAAAAGAAAAGCCAAAAAACTAAAATATTTTTATTGTAGCAAAATATTTGTTTCGTTTATTTGGAATAATGTAAACATAATATTATAAAATCATACAAAAAACGTTAAATACATGACCTAAACAACAGATAAAAATATATTTTTTGCCTTCAGGTAAATTAAACAAAAATAAAAATATATTCTGTTATAAGTGTTACATATTTATTATTATTGTTATATATTTATTATTATTATTATTACTATTCATTATTTAGCGTTAGGATTTATTATTTGTCAGTTATTAATTATTACGTTTTACTATTTTCTAGAACATTTCCTGACTCACTGGTTTTTGTTAATTCGTTACCCAACTTTTGTAAATCTCTGTCTGTACCTTGGCAGCAAGCTGTACCTTGGCTAAGCCGATATATTTTTTGTCAATGATGATTCGTACAACTTCTTACTCAACTTGTGTCGAGAGGCCAGTTCGGCATTAGATCTTGTACTCGTCGGATGAACGAACAATAAAATTTATATACAAGATATTGTTTTATTTATTCAATCCGGAACAATTCTTTAGAAATCTTTTGCAGCCTAAAACATGTATGCTGAAATAAAGGTGTATTTTGAGGTTAGAAGTCTTTTACCTCCTTCATTACTTCATAATTTCACGGTTTTTTGGCATCTTTGTTTTTCAAATAATTGAATAAATAAAACAATATCTTGTGTATAAATTTTATTGTCCGTCATCCGACGAGTACAAGATCTAATGCCGAACTGGCCTCTCAACACATCAGTTGTGTAAGAAGTTGTACGAATCATCATTGACAAAAAATATATCGGCTTAGATGACTAATCGCTGCCAAGGTACAGATAGAGATTTACAAAAGTTGGGTAACGAATTAACAAAAACCAATTAGTCAGGAAATGTTCTAGAAAATTGTAAAACGTAATAATTAGTAACTGAGAAATAATAAATCCTAACGCTAAATAATGAATAGCGATAATAATAATAAATGTGTAACAATAATAACAAATATGTAACAATATAATAACAAATATGTAACAATATAATAACAAATATGTAACAATATAATAACAAATATGTAACACTATAATAACAAATATGTAACATAATATTCATTTAATTTATCATAAAACAAACTCTTATGATTATCCATTTTCCAACAATTACTAAATGTTACGGCCCGAAATACTACACAATAAAATTTCAAGCCTTCAGCAAATGACTAAATACACTTCAAGCTTCAATAAAAATAGTAGTCGTGGATAAAGTATAGTATACTACTCGCGTATAATGGTTATTATACGCTCGTTGTATAATATACTATTATTTATACTATTAAAGTCATTGTTTATTTTGTTTATTTAAGCAGCGCATTAAAACGTCAATAATCGGCACATTAAACCAATATTTTTACTCAAAATTACAATAAAAATGATTATCGCATCAGATTCTAAAGTTCCTCAATCGGTATTTGAGCAACAATACAAATGTTATGATTTTGAACTGTTTCACATTCAAAATTCACGCTTCCGTAACTAAGTGTTTAGCGCAGGAATTAGACAAGGTGCAACAGATAATTTTGAAAAAGGTGTTTATCCATTAGTATGGCATCACTATCATCCAACGAACGTTCCACATCAGAAAGAACATCATAATGCACTTCTTCGCACAAATTATTTATTAATTTTTTCCTCAGAAAACGACTTGACACTCACAACACAATTTTTTTTCCAACTTTGTTTCTAAAAAACAAGTCATTGTCATGGTCGCCGCATAGGAATCAGGATAATCATGAAATTTGTAAATGTCTGACGATTTGATGACTGATATTTTTATCTTTAAAATCGAAAGGTTTATAAGGCAAAATCGAATAAAATGTTGTTTGTATTACACTCGCAGGATAAAGTGGCCGTTTAATTCGCTGTTATTAACGAGCGCGCTGCTGCGCAGCTTGCGCGGTTAAGCTATGGTTTCTTAGACCAGTGCGCAACGCACAACTGTTTGCGCGGCGCATAACTTACACACAAAAAGTGTAATCATTAAAAACCGGTGTCCGTCGGACTGAACTGACAATACTTTAATTATTATTAAATGTAGGAATCGCGTATGTAGGTACGTGTTATTAGAAAATGGAAGAAGTCACCAAAAAGCTAATTCTCTCCTCTTTATTATTCGAAGAAGAAGAGGAGGAAGAGTGTATGCTATTATTGGCTTGCAACAGAACAAATAAAAAAGTGGATAAAATATATTCTTCTCGAAAAACAGAAGGTGCATATAGCCTCACTGTGGAACGCCGGTTATTTGGAAACGAACAAAAATTTAGAGAATATTTTAGACTTTCGGTAGAGCTTTTTGAACGTGTTTTACAATATATAAGCGCCTGATATAACAAAACTGCCATGTAATAGATATAAACGTCCCATTTCTGTCGAAGAAAAACTAAGCGTTACTTTAAGGTAAGTAATATATTGTTAACAAAAACCAAAAACATGTTTGAAAAATAATCTGTCCTTTTTTGTTCTTACAACTGAAAGTTTGTGCATGTGTCAGAGGAAAAGATGTAGGAAGAATTGGTTGACGAAGAAGAGGGTCTAGTTGTATCTCTTGAATTAGGGTCAAAATTTGGTGGAACATATGATCCATATTCCTGCGTTTGCCATTCATTTTGCACGTTCGCAGACGGTGGTTGTGTGATACTATCAATTTCATATCGTGACACCAAACTCATTATATCTAATTTAATCTTAGCTTTCTGCATAGGTGAAAAAGTTGAAACTGTAGCAGCTATACTTTTAAAAAACATATCTATTGCTGGGTCAGACGATTTTTCTTCATGAGTCGAGTTTTTAACGTTATTAGTCATTAACTCTCGTAGAATAGCAGTTCTTTCAGCCCGACCTTTTTTAATTTCTTAAATGACCATGCATTTTTATCTTTTGAAATGCGAGCACAAACGAACAATTTTCATTTTTTATAAAATTTAACATTTCGACAAGTTTATCGCAATAGTGCACCGACCCGAGCAGACACTTCCGCGCGGTCAGCAACGATCAGCGGAATGTCTTAATTGGGTCATTATGCCAGCGACAAACAAACAATCATCGATATAGTTTTATAAAGTAAATTGGTCATTCGTCATTAAAGTAACCAACGTTTTAGATTTACTGTTTTAGTTTAAGTTGAAAATTGTATCCTAATCAAATTATTTTTATAATAAATCGAGTTTTTATAATAGTACAACAGCGTCTGTTATTTGCTCCACAACCCTTAAGCTTCGCCGAACATGGTCCTTCGAGCTTAAAAAGGTATTTAAACCTTTTGAACCTTCGCRGCGAAAAAGCAGTGATTTGTTCGTAAAAAAAAAATTCGCCGCGGCGTGTGATAAAACAAATCGCCGTGAGTGTTAGTGTAGTGCCAGTGCTACAAAATTAAAATAAAAAGTGGAGTGATAATCCATCACCTCATCAACGGTATCATGCCTACCATGGAGAAATCAACCAACTCCAAAGATTCTTTACCGGGACAACAGCGCCCTATCGAAGCTCAGCAGCTGCTAATCAAAGAGCAGAAAATACGGCTAGCTGAGCTAACCGAAAGTCTTTCCCAAATCCATTCAGATTTGGAAGGAGAGATATCCTTACCGGATATCAATAACTATCTCGAATACCTCAAGAAACGTTTCGAGATAGTTGAAAATATAAATGTGCAAATTCAGGTTCACGAAGAACAATTTGCGGACATATATTTCCAAAACAACATGTTCCAATCCATGAAGAAACAATACGACACTATTCTCAAGAAGTTAAATAACAGAGGTAGTGCGACTTCAWTTACAACGACGAATTCTAACGTCAAACTACCATTCCTAAAAATTCCCATATTCACGGGCAAGTACGAGGAGTGGACTSCATTCAAGGACATTTTCTCCAAAGTAATTCATTCTAATCAATCTATTAGCAATGTGGAGAAAATGCAATATTTGAAAACATCCCTAAAAGGCGAGGCTAACAGGGTGATTCAACATTTTTGTATCAGTGAGGCCAATTACGAAGCAGCGTGGGCCGAACTCAACAATCGGTACAACAACAAAAAGCTAATATCTTCAAAGCTTATCAACGCAATATTAGATCTTCCAAAAATACGTCAAGATTCGGTGGAAGATCTGAAGAACTTATACAGCACAACCAAAGAATGTTTAGAAGCATTAAACGTTCTAGGTGTYGACACCCAATCATGGGGACCCATGATTCTGACAAAAAAGTTGGATTCAAGGACAGCTGAGCTTTTTGAATCCTCTGTCACCGACCCGATGGAACTTCAAAGCTTGGATGAAATGCTCACTTTCATCATGAAGAGGTTCCAGGCGCTCGAAACAATGGCAGGATTACCAAAATACAACTATTACTCTACAGACAATGAGCGTTACGTAAGAAAACAGCCAAACTGTAAGTACMGCCATTTAAWTCACCATTTGTATCAATGCGCGAAGTTTAAAGCGTTGRRAAATAGTCAACGGTTTTACGCAGCAAAAGATTTGAAGGTCTGCRTAAACTGTTTGAACCATGAAAACACGATGAAATGCAATTCTCTGTCAAAGTGTAGTATTTGTCAAAAAAATCACCACACTCTTATTCACCGTGATTTTCCTTCAACTACCAATTCCAATTCCAAAACGGTTGCTGAAAATAAGCAACCTAAACCGAACGGTTCTACAAACAAAATTAATAGTCATCATGTGGCTAATCAAAAAAATACGACCGTTCTCGCGACCGCGATAATAAAGGTGAAAACAGCTCGCAACAGTTTCGAATATTTGCGTGCCTTAGTCGACCCAGGTTCTCAAGCATCTTTCATCACGGAAGAAGCGTCAAATGTTTTGAACATACCAAAACAAAAAATATGCTTGCAGTTTGCAAGCCAAGGGTCTCAAGCAATTATTCGTTAATAACAGAATTACTAGTCCTTCCAAAATTAACCTCAAGTGTCCCGAACGAAGAAAT